CACACACACACACACACACACACACACACACACACACACACACACACACACACAATGCAAAGAACAATAGGTATTACAACGACTGAGTGTTCACATCGACTCTCTCTCACTCCTGCACGACTACACATATATAAATATAGCTTCACTCCATTTGCCAGACCACAGTAAGTCTGAAGACGTTACGAGTAAAATAGAACTACCTGCACGACTGATTCACTCCACTAGCCATGGCGACACCACGGCCAGTTTGAAGCCGCCATGCGTAAAGTGAAACCACCCGCACGCGCCGACACCTGCCGCTGTCGCAGCAGGGCGCGACGATCGTTCATCGCCATCAGAGTGTTTGCACGCCGGTCGCCGCACGCCGTCAGGACTTCCTCGGCTTGCCTTTGCCGCTCTTCGCCAGCTTGCGTCGCTTGACGATCATCTCGTACAGAACCTCTAACGCCTCGTCGAGTCCGTCGCCGATGATCGCGCACGTCGGCTGCACGTGGTAGAGGTGGTTCGGCGACAGCTCGTGCAGCGCCAGCAGTTTCTCAATCTCGCTCGTCTCGCGCGCCTCGGGCAGATCCTGCTTGTTGGCGAGCACGAGGATTGGCACGCCGCTGTTTTCCGGGAAGCGCGCCGTCTTGTGCAGTTCCATCTTCACCTCCTCGAAGCGCTCGACGTCGCAACTATCGACGACGAACACGATTCCGTCCGTGCAGCGCGTGTACGCCTGCCACAGCGGACGCAGCTTGTCCTGCCCGCCGACGTCCCAGATCGTGAAACTAGTGCCCTTCGCCTTACCCGTCGTCATGCGGATCCGCTCGCAGTTGAACCCGATCGTCGGAACCGTGTTGATGTACTGGTCGAACTTGAGTCGGTACAGTACGGTTGTCTTCCCGGCCGCGTCGAGGCCTAGCATGGCAACGTGTAGCTGCATGGCGGAGCCACCGATACCGTCAAAGATCGAGCCGCCCTGCCCCATCTTTGTCTTCTTTTTCTTCTTTTTCTTCCCACCGTGATATCGATCTCTCGCACTAATCCGCCCCAGCAGAATCACCGCTATGTACGCTTCACAACAATGCACGGATGGCTATCGCGCGAAGTAATGGCGGCTTAACGCAGATCAGGGGCAGAGCCATCGCTCCGGCTATTGCGAGCACACGCGCACTGCGGCGACGCGGTCGTGGGAACCTCGAGCCGACGTCTGTCTTCGTGTTCTCGCTGTACTTTCGTCTCGCTCTCGGCACACGCACGACCCAGTTCGCGCGCGAGAATGCGTGACCGAGGCGTAGTCGCTTTCGCCCGGCGCACACTCGAGGAAGTAAGAGTACAGTAGAATTGCGGAGAGAAGACGAGACAAGAAGGAGACCCTCGGGGGAGAAACGAGCGTCGCGGCAGGAGGTATAGCGCAGAAGTGGATCCGCGCGGAAAACAAGGCGTCGTTCGACCAATGCACACACCTGGAACAGCGAACAGTTGTAAATCCGCCAGGTTCCGTCCTGCGACACGTCGGGCAATAAATCAGCGCACAGTGGTGACCGCTAATCAGTCAAATCAATCACCTGTAGGCTCTCTATCTCTCTCTCTCTGTTCTGAGTAAACGATGTTTGCGTGGTAGTGCCCCTGCGTGAGAACCGATAGCAGCACTGGTAAACGTTGCGACAGTGTTATCGACAATAGCGGCTTTGTGCGCGTTGTTTGCGCGTAGATCAACACTCAGCCACCTACAGCTCGCCGCCTCGCCTCCCTAGCATCGCGCAGCATCAAACCACGGCGTCGCATACCCTCGCCACGTTCATGACAGAAATCACTGCGATCCGGAAAAACCGCTCCGCGATATATTAATCACTTTGCGCAGCTCGCTGATTGCTGCTTTGTCTGCAGGTATTATATTACAGGTGCGCTCCGCTGCACCCCGCGCGGGGCCGGGGTCCCAGATTTCGCCTAGCAATCAACCTGCCCCGCGCTGGCCCACACCGACCCTATTGTCTCAGAGAGTCCGAACTTCTCAGCATGCGTTATAGTAGTTGAGGCTCTCGACGCTCAGATGCTCCTCACACACTCACGTATAGCGAGCGCAACACGCCGCTCTTTCTTAAGCCGCGCCAGCAATTCTTTTCGCGTTTGCAGCACTTGGTTGTCACTTATGTAAATCGAGGGGTGAACGTAACCGGGTTAGTGTCTTCCGTCGTTGCAGCTAGCTCGCAGCAGATATATCGCAGCAGCGCGACAGCGTGGGAACAAGATGTGCAGACAGATATCCTATATACGCTGGTAGACGTTGCTGCTTCCTTGTTATTTCGGGACGTCGTCAGGCGTGACACGTCGAAACAAGCGCTCGATAAAAGCGTCTGCGATGCAAGCTCACCTGCATCGCCCGCTGCTCATTGGCAACCTGGAATCAATGGTGTCTCGTTGCTGTCGTTACCGACTCTCTGGTCTCCCTCTCTCTCTCTCTCTCTTGGCTGCTGTCGCTGTCCCTATCGATGAATACGATCAGGTTGTTTAGCGCCCACAGGTATCAGACACAGGTGCGTTCGCCGGTAGTTTTCATTGTAAGCACCGACGTTTTCACGTGTTACAAATTGGGTTGTTGTACGGTTCAGTACGCTGGAATAGTGTGTCGTCAGTCTGCCGCGTGTCACCAGCACAGGTAGCAGACGCGCCGATGTCCTCGTGCGTTGATGACGCTTCTACGTGATCTGCGATGAACAAACAACCATATGCAGCTCAGTGGTCTTTCTCCTTTCCTCACTATCTCTCTCTCTCTCTGTCTGTCTCACGCAGAATCTTATTAGCGGCACGCGATCGCGGCTAGCGACAGCGTTACACGGAGTTCTGATCACGCAGGAATCCGTGAATTTCCACAGAAATTCGAGAAGTCGCTCACAAATCTGCGATGTCGCACAGATCCCCGTATATAGTAAATACCCGGGTGCACACTGCACGCTCGGGTCTACGGTTTGCTTGTAGTTACCGTCTTCGCTCTCTCATCCACACACTCCGAGCGACAACTTGCTGCTGCGGCTGTTGCTGAGTAGAGCACAACTGTAGGCGTTAGTCCCCATATCCCAATGAACACGAGCAGTACAGCAGATGGGAGCTCCTATTGATTACAAGAGACCCGCGAGGGAGGGCGGAACACAGAGCGTCTTAAATTCGCGTCTAATCTTGTATCTTGGGGTCCCTCTCTTGTATTTCACAAGGCACTGTTTTTCTTGGAATGTGCGGGGAAATCCTGTAGATAAGGAAATTCTGTCTACAAGTTAGCATTAATTATTTTACTTTCTCTAATTGATAAACGATCTAAGACGAGAGCAGCGGGAGGCAGAGTCACGGTGAAAGCCGGCGATGTCTCTCTCCCTATATATACATATAGATATTGATGTGGTTAATAAGAAAAAAATATAGAAATAAAACGTTTTATAGAAGTTGTATTCATCTCCCATGTGCCTAGTAACGATTTTGACAAAATACTGGATGTAGAATATTAGGAATTATCCAGAATACACTCGTTTATTCTCCCGTCATTCTCGAAATATCTGCGCATATCGCGTCATCTGCGTATTGTTCTGGGCTAAACGCCAAGATATAACAATTTATCGTATACCTCACAGGTAGCTCTATAGTAACTATAGCCCGCGTACGGTCAAGCGTTAAACCTTTAACAATTTGCTAATTTGATTGAACACATTTGTAATTTACACGTTTATTTTATATTTGAAATTATTCAGATATGAAGTGTACGTGACATAATTATGCAAGCCGGGAATATCGATCTGAAGATGATGATATTGCTATCTTTAAAAAATTGTCCGACAGTTGCGGTAGTGAAAAATAAAAGAATTTATACATTTAGCCGGGCCGACTTTGAGAGAGAGAGAGAGCGAGAGAGAGAGAGAGAGAGAGAGAGAGAGAGAGAGAGAGAGAGAGAGAGAGAGAGAGAGAGTGGAGGGCGAGATAGACACATATACAGCTAGAGGAATAGGGAAGGAAAAAGCTAGTATAGGCAGGTAACACAGACGGACATATGGACGGACAGTCAGAAAGGCAGACAGACAAGTCGAGCCCGCATCGCAGCGCCATCTGTTGTGTGTTTCCCAAATCAATCGTGCTAATCGCTCGCGTGACGTAGCCAACTGGAGAAAGATGGCAGCGCTCATGTAGTCACAGTACTCAGTAGTGCATGGTGTGTGATATACGATATACTCACACAAATTGGTGTAATTTTGTTGTTCATTTATAAAATCCAAAATTAGCATTGACTGTATAGTTAATCATGGCAACCGTTAAAGTAATAGGCCGGCGAACTACATTCCGAGGGAAAACTCTGTTCGAAATATTGTGCAATCTAAAAAACTTTGGCAAAGGTCGTGTCGTCGTCAGAAGTTTGTTCGAGGACAGATTTCCTACGGAACCCAGTTACTATGTTATAACAAGAGCAGCGCCAGAGATGGACGAGGTGAGCACGCAACTACTTATTCTATAGTTTCTCATATGCCAACTCGTATACTAACAATGTTACTAACATGATAACTACTGTCCAAACAAACAGCAGATATAAACTATTAAGCATTATGATAATTATCTTCAACAAACCCTTTGCTTTTGTAATCTGTACTTTACACTGTGTAAAGGTCTAAAGGTGCAGTAGCATCAAGAAAAGTGTTAAGATATTATTATAACTACATACATGTTATCAGGAGTAAGATAATATAGATCTATATATCTATATTATCTTACTCCTGATGTTATATGAATGATTTATACCTCATCTGATGATCGGTGAAAAAGACAACCACTATTTTGGGTTCTGGATATAAGCGCTGACAACAATTCATTTTCGCAATGTGCGACATGTGAAAATGTGGACAGCTCTTCTATCCTTGGGCCCTATTTTGACTAAACCTCCATACTAGAAGATATACCCTGATTTTTGAAGTTCACCAGCATAACCGCAAATAAAAACCCATGCAGCGATTTTAAAATGTAGACATGTATCCTATGTAATTATATAATGAGAACAATGGACAATGTAGGTTTATGGCGGTATATGTTAATTCCAATTCCTGTATATACCCTAAGATGTACTAGCTATCTGTTTTGTTGTCTTGTTTGAGAAAGTAGAGGTAAGGGCATTGATCTTTTGTATTTTTGTAATGTCATGGTTATACAATTATGTTCTATTGTTGACAACTTGACGTGCATGCGTCATCCTTTTTTGTGCAGCGAAACTCCTTGTACCTTGTACCTGTAGTATGAAACTGGCTAAGCAGCCGCTCGAGCAACTTCGCCCGTATTCTTGTTATGCACATCGCTAATGACACAATTACCTGGTGGCAGCGGTTGGACTCGAACCCACGCCTCCGAAAAGAGAGATTCTTTTTCTGTTTTACATCATCTCTTTATGTGTTTTTTTACATTCTTCCATCTTGTAATGTTGCAGAACTTTGACTTTGGCGAAGCTTGGGGCAGGAAAGTTTTTCGTGGCAACGAGCTTGGTGAATGGAAGATCATGGCCGGACACAAGGCTGACTGGCGACTCATCCCACGCGACGATGAACACAAGTACCTGAACTGGAAGCCTGCACAGCCATTTGTACATTCTGTCATTCCCCGCGAGCAACCATTTCCCCCTCTCCTGCGCGAGATCATTCGGCAAGAGATGAAGGCAGCTGGTAAGAGCACGGACAAAGAGGCGCTGCTGCCGATAAGCATACACGAAACTGTGTGGAACAGAGCAAAACTACGCAGGGATGCTACCCCTGCTGAGACCAACACCAGCTCACTTCCAACATCAGACAGTAGCAGTAATACTGATACACGAGTGTAGATAGGAAAATATAGCAACTCACAGCCACTTGTGCCAACATACCGAAGTCAACTCCATGTAGTTGTGATGTGTCGCAGGAAATGCCAATGATTTTGACTAAAATCCGAAGTGATGAAAAACAAATGGTTTTTATGATTTCAGCTAAAATCCATGTGACTCACTCAGATAACTGTTGGTACCTTGTGACTGACTGAAATGTACAGCAGTGTCAAATATATAGCTAAAAGAAATTACCGTTAACACTTAAATCCATGTTTATTGTTTGCTGTTAATATATAGTATACAGTACTTGGAAGCACTGTTAGTGTTATCGATGTTTATTGTAATACACAATCAACATGAGAAATTCCTAGTTACAATAAATTGTTAATATATGTCACTGTGACATGCAGAAGGTTCTATTAGATGGAATTTGGCCCTCAGGCTGCATTACTTTTGCGAGTGAGAGACTGGCAGACACAGATGCAAAGCTGTTGGCAGCTGATTTCATCATAACACAGTTGAGTTCCCTTTGTCAATAAAAACCACACAAGGGCGTGTACAGGGGGGGTCTAGGGGGTCCGGCCCCCCCCCCTGCTCGCGCAGAAAACGCATCTAAGGGGGTCTAATTTCAAAAATTTTCTCCCCCAGACCCCCCCTTCGCGTGCTCGCAAGTTTGGGTTACGGTTAGACCCCCCCCCCCTGGTACAAATCCTGTACACGCCCCTGCCACAATATAATCTACGTACAGTTCACATGTATGCTTCAATCCTATACCACTGTAAATGTTGATTCTCTTGAGATACAGGCCCAATGATAACATGGCAAGGTTACTACCACGAATAAAGACCTCTGGGTAGATCGTCATGTGCAGCACAATGTATGCACAATGCTATCAGTATTTTTAACCCCAACTTAAGTCTCATCAGAATTACAGGGTTGTTTCATGTGGTCTGCAGGCTAAGAGCAATTCAGCATCCATGTGCGTGCTTCTATCAACCCACTGGTGTGTCTGTGTTCTCATGCCGACTTTTTAAACATTTGCAAGATGCTGTCGCTGATTTGGATGCTTATACCTGACGTGCCTCGCATCTCTCGCTGGTACTGTCGTAACTCCTGCACTTCTGGCTCTTTGCGCACCTAATCACAAAGAAGCTTCATTAGTTAAAGGATCAAGTATTGGCAATACTGACCAACAGTTGGCGTTGATAGAACATCGGTCAACCATTGTCAGTTCAGTAGAGGAGAACTAACTTTCAACATTATGTTCCATTAAGCTAGGACCAGGGGAATCACAAATTCCATATATATGTATATGTATATATATATGGATATTGCTTATATGCGCAATTAAACTTGTATGTACAAGTGTGTCTATCATTTCCATTATCCTCCTTATTAGTGCTTTGGTTTCTGAAGCTGAACTTTAACACTCTAGGTCTAACACTATAACACTAACTATAACACACAGTCTCTGATCAGTGCTGACACTTACCAGGAAGCCTCGCCAATAAGACTGTATAACGGTGGCTGCTTTTTCCTCACTCCATATGAGGGATAGGGGAATAGTTGGTCGTGGGCTAATAGAAAATCACATATATATATCAGCTCTTGATCATATATATAGCCTTCGTAATAATTGAGATAATTTCAAAGCATTCAATTGTTGTGCACTGATTTACATTGCTCTGCCATTTACTGGGAATTATTTGGAAATGCGAATTTCTACACTGTGTAATTGATCTTTATTGAAGTGGGATGAATAGATAGATGTTATAGTGATGTTCCCATACTGATCTTTCAACCAACTCCTAACAAAGGGGATTGATTCTAAGGATATGTCTTCATGGTTAGTCCGCCGGGGATTGTTCCTGTAAGTATAGTGATAAAAATTCTAGGCCATCTAACAAATATACACTATCACAAATTCACAGAGTATTATATTGTACAACTATAATCCTTTGTGTTGCTGAGCACATGCAGTATAGACATATAATGATATAATCTAGTAGATATATAGGGCGCGTTTGTTTGGTTGGATCCACGGATCTTGATCTTATGGATTCGTTGATCTGACTGTTTGTTTGGTCGGATCACTTGATCTCGATCCACCGAACCCGACCCTGCTAGCGAGGTGGATTCGAACGGGATCCAATATGGCGGCCCGTGCCTCAGCCAATCACAGCTTGTTCTTTTTTATGAACCATTCCGTGATAGGCCACAGCAAAATGTGAACTGGTGAAAGTGAATTTGCGTTTGTTTGGTCGGATCAGGATCACATGATCGCGATCCGACGGATTCGTCCCAAACAAACACACCCATAGTATAGAGACTGCTAAGGATTATCAACAATACACACAGCTGTGAGGTTCTACCGATTGTTTGCATGTTTTCTTCAACAAAATAATACTGGGAAATATAGTAAACTATATGAAGTTACCTGTAAAGCCACTCTGTCAGGAAATCTAGGCCATTAAATTTTGTCCTCTTTCTCTGTTGAGAGAAAATACTTTACATCATATTTTTCCCAAAATCTATTGAAAATTGACCTAATTCACACATTTACTGAGACTTGATTTACACATGAACAGGAACTGATAGTGATTTTGCGTTGTTTGAAATATGTGATACCTCGAAACATTTTTCTTCAATAGCCTGTCTGATCAGAGCATCCAGTCCAGGCAGCAGTACAGGGAAAATAAAAATGTCTAGATAGTCCACTGGTGAACCTGGAAGATATTACTATGGAATTTCTTGAAGGATTGAAAATTCTAGATTGCCTTTACAGTCTACTGTGCGTTCAGCACGTTCACCTCTATTTGTAGCTCTGCCCATGTTATGTACCCTTTGCACAGCCACAGTGCCAGTGGCACAAATGGCAGAGCAAAGGGCGACACAGTTAGTAGCTCTAGCACTGTAGCCTCCATTACTCTATTACGGAGTGATGGAAGTTGAGTGCTAGAGCTAAATATAACGTTACGTACTCGATTCACAGCTCTAGATTCTTGTGTGCATACTTTTACATACATTGTACAACTACAGTACAAGGCTAAACAAAAATACTCAAATACTGTGAACTTTTTTTCTAATGTATGACAAACAAGTGATACACAATTTCAGGTCAATCATACCATATCATACTTAATAGCTAAAATCTGTCATTGTGCGCCATTGCCATTGGGGCGTTAGCATCAGGCTTAGGTTAGTCTGCAGTGATACTGTGATAGTGTCGTCGCGCCACAATACGCTACAAATAGTCAATACTCATACTGCACAATAGTCAATAGGCTAATGTACTTTACAAATTACAATGTATTAGTGACTATGGCTCACTGGCTGTGCCGCACACCTACCTAATGCTATATGTGGAATTTATAACACAGAATGGACAATGGTAATATTTTCTCACATTCATCTACTTCAAGTTCAACTTGATTCGACCGTAGGTGTTGTAACTCTTTTAATAGTTTATCTGGGTGTAGACTTTCTGGTGCCACTAACACGTCTTCCATTTCCGTTTCTGACAGCAGAAGAAGAGCGAGCAACTGTCCTACAATTTACTACAAAAACTAATAACTTGTGATGTCTTATTGATTACACTGTTGACCTACTCTATAAAATGAACTACACACCGGCGTCCGTAGTTACTGTTTACTAAATTTGATTGCAGAGGGAGAGCCACCTTGTGGCGAATTTCTTAATAAAAATTACACAAATAATCGCGTTTTCCAGTAAAAATCAACATCCATTTATTCCTGCCGCTTGATACACAATATATTATATAGACGTAAATAACTACTACCAATTCTCAAAAATAATCTTTAAATGTTTATTAATAAGTTTGATTCTTCATATTAATACTAATACTAATTACCATAGAAAATTGCCTTCCAGTTTTAGATATAAGAACTATATGTATCTGCTGCACATTGTGCTGTCAACCAAAACATAGCTTTTATAGGTAATACCTGAAAAACACTATCAGCAAGGATATTTAATGCTATCCTATATTAAACTTGATATAAAATGCTTAGGTTGCACTGCTTGCAATGGTTATGTTTCAATATAAAACACTGATGTTTCATTACATTATGACGAACCCCTGATTATATTAATTATGATTTAACAAACCATTGACATTGTATTATTATTAACACACATTGAAAATATAAATTTGTACTTGGGTTGAATGAGATAAATATGTAATTTTATTTACTATGTACAATTTAATCACGAAATAAACCCAAGATTCAAATATATATATATATATATATATATATATATATATACACTCACCGACTCACGCACGCACGCATATACACATAGCTACCACTAGACATTAGTAAGCTGGATCACTGCAGCATGATGTAGCCAGTGATCAGAACATGAAGTATACCTGGTCCTTCTTACACAAGAATATCACAAATATTCGAAGGAATGCAGATGTGATGTAACTTACAAGTGATTTTGTTCATTTCCAAAGTATTGTACCACTCTGCAACACACTACTATGTAACGCTCATAGGGTCTATGTCCCCCAGGGTACTATCGGAGGGTACCCTGGGTACGGTTCGATGTATCGGAACGTACCCTGGTGACTATCTGATATGGTTACGGTTAGGGTTAGGGTTAGGGAGTAGGCGTAGGCAACTCCCTACTCGTTAGTGGAGTAGGCGAGGTACGGTCCGGCAAATTAGATAGTTACCAGGGTACGTTCCGGTATACCGGACCGTACCCAGGGTACCCTCCAATAGTACCCTGGGGGACATAGACCCTCTCAGCCTATGTAACGCTACCACTATTACTGGCCAGTGCTTACGTCGCAAACTTCGTAATAGGAATCATTAGATGCTGTGAAGGATGACTCAAGGGCATGCGTCTTATACTGAATGCTCAGACCTGTCATCCAGAATTTGAGCAATGGTTCATCGTGCGGCCCTGCCCCTAGCACTCGGAGCAGCTTCTGCACCTCCTCCTGAGAGTGACTCCCACTTGCCCGGCTGAACTTAAACAGCACCTTCACCTTACTGCAACACAGGACAAAATATAGAGGTAAGCATTGTCACAGGGGCAGGCACGGTATTTTTTTTTTTTTTTTAGAGGTCCATATTTATGTATCCACGTCATGGCTATAGCGGTACATACATACATGCCCACATTTATGTGCCAATACAATGCATCGACATTAGATAAGGAGTAATATAATAACTATTATATTACTCCCGATTAGATAGAACTACCTTCTCGCAGATAAAAAATTCCTCAGAATTGTTAGCCAATCAGTAGCTCAAGCATATCTACTCATATTTGCTTTAGTGTTGACGAACAACTCACTTCATCCACTGCTCCTTCATAGCAGTAAGGGAACACTCAAGTACTTCGTTTGTAAATTTTGCCTGCACCATAGCTTGTTCCATCTTCACGAGTAAGGCTGGATCTGTGAAGACAAAGATAGATATATTGGAACTTATTATGACCAAAATTAAGAGGAAATGAAAGTGTCAGTGACACTGTAGCTCACCTTGGGTGTGATAGAAGAGGGAGGGGGGATATATAAAGCAAGAGTATATATGGGAGAACTCCCATTATATAGCATATCTCACATTATATACTCTTGATAGTGATATATGCATAAGTTTGATGCGAAAATAAATGTTGAACAACATAATCTTGACGAGAGATGGCGCTACGCCTAAATGATTGCCATTTTGGTTTTCGAATATCGCGCAAATAAAAACAATAAAATATTCCAGTCAAATTACTGTAACGAAGAATCTAAAACACAATATTACACGTATATAGGTATGATTGTAGAGTTGTTGACCAGTTAGATGAAATAAATGTAATAGCTAAGACGTTGTCATCTCTTCCATAGGAGTAACAACTGTTTTGGGCATAGATATACACATTCACATACCAAAACTTAACAAAATCAAATGAATTTAGATGGCCATTTTCATTTTTGCCAAAAAGTGGGTGTGGCTCAAAAGTAGGTCGACTGGCGTGCTCCAAAATAGGAAGTTCAAATCTCTCCCATAGGAGTAACAACTATATTCAATTTGAAACATGTGGGTCAAACGGTTCTTGAGCTATCGTTGACCATAGGCAGACATGAAATGCATAGTGAAATTGCCAAAATCTACCTAATTTGCATAATTAATAAAAAAAAATCAAAACCCGTGTGATATGTTTTGGGGACAGTCCTTATTCGTTCACATACTAGAAATGAGCAAAATCCGTTGAACCTGAATAGACTTATGGCCATTTCCATTTTTGCCAAAAAGTGGACGTGGCTCGAAAGTAGGTCGACTGGCGTGATCCACAATAGGACGTTCAAACCTCTCCCATAGGAGTAACAACTGCATGCAATTTGAAACATGTGGGTCAAACCGCTCAAACGGTTCTTGAGTTATCGTTGAACGTAGGCAGACACTGAAATGCATAGTAAAATTGCCAAAATCTACCTAATTTGCATAATTAAAAAATCAAATAAAAACCTGTGTGATATGTTTTGGGGCCAATCCCCAGTCATTCACATACTAGAAATGAGCAAAATCCATTAAACCTGAACTGACTTATGGCAATTTCCATTTTTGCCAAAAAGTGGACGTGGCTCGAATGTAGGTCGACTGGCGTGATCCAAAATAGGACGTTCAAACCTCTCCCATAGGAGTAACAACTATATGCAATTTGAAACATGTGGATCAAACGGTGCTTGAGTTATCATTGACCATAGCCAAATGTTGACAGACGGACAGACGGACGTACGACAGATGACACCCCATGGCAATAGCTCATCTTGACGATGTCAAGGCAAGCTAAAAATCACAAGGTATTTATTAAGCTTGTACAGATTATTATATTTGGCTATAGTGGTAGTTTCATACAACTCATATATAGGTTCCATTATAAAAAGGAACTTACACACATCAGGAAGAACAGTCTTGCTGCTCACAGTAAATGTATATCCATCAAATTGGTCACTAGTGTCACTAGATAGTGACTGAGCATCTTTCGGTGCTAAGATGTCGAGTACACTGTACTTATCCGCCTCACTCACGTGCTCTGGGATTTCCACTCCTAATTCCAAACCTGTTAAAATTTCCATAATGTAAGGCTATGAGGTTTCTAGCAAAGATCAAATACCAATTTAGTGTGCAGTGAGTGGTGGGTTTTTCGAGTCCTTTTAATGTTGCAGCTACAGTGTGGCTTTTGCAACTGCACTTTTTGTTAGATACTTGAATAGAATCCTTGTAAGGCAATAAAAGAAGTAGATTACACACTACAAGTCTTATTTGTACAGAGTGCAATATTGCAAAGTATCTTATTATCTTACTCTTGGTAGCAATATTAAACTTTAATAATTTAAATGTATTGGAGACACTTAAAAGACCTACCAAAGAAATTTATGAACATACATGCAGACAGGAGTACATAGAGACCATATGTAATCCTGATGGGCACAAAAAACACTTGATTTACCTAAGAAATTACACATCCAAGAATCTACATAGGTGCTACTCCAGGCTATGACCCGACTGCATCCTTTAGGGAGGAAAACCTGAATTGAAGAAAGTAGTAATACATATATGCCAAACAACTGAGAATAACAGACATATTTTTATATTGCCACCTCAACTCGGTGTTGAACCTAATATGAACACAAATCTGCTTTACTGATGATGTTGCATACATGAATACTCTACATGAATAAAACTCAAAGCTCAACAACAGTTCCGTACTATTAGTAAATTTACATCATCATAGTAGCATCAATCTTTACCACACAGGTCGGTGCATTGAATACTGTACTACAGCGAGAATGTAACTCAGCTAACCTGTAATGCCTGTATCACAGACTTGACAAGCCATCTCTGTGATCCTCTCACTATAACCTGGTTGCCAATAATGGTGTGGTGAGCCAGTGTATTGAATTTGTCATAAGCCAATACCTAATCACAGTATAAATACATAGGTGTCAAACTGAAATGCGTTTTTAAGGGTTATGGTAGACAAAACATGAGAAAGAATACATTTAAGCATTGAACTTTTCTCGTAACATTAAACACCATGCAAAAAATACAGAACATCTCGTGGCTTTTGTTGCAAGAATGTCTTTCTGTCAAAAGCAGGATGAATGAAATGTGTAAACAGCTATCAGCTAATTCCGATGTCCAATACATTACAACATCAACAATTATATAATACCCTGAGCAGATGTCGGATGTTTTTAAACTCTGGACAGGAGCTTTCGTCATCTTCTGCCTCACGAGTCGTTGCAAGTTGTGATTTCTCCTCCTTATCGGACTGGTCATCGGCCCCAGTCTTCTTGCTCACCTCTAGTGTTGTTGTAAACAGTTTGATGAACCCTTCCTCAGTTTCTTGTGAAAAAGGACAAATATACGTATAGTGGGGGGGGGGAAATGAAATCTATTTTCGTATACAGAACTAGGTGATATGATGGTTAAGGATTCAGTCATGCTTGCTTATATTTCTACCTTCCAATCTCTCCATGTCAATAACGGTGTCTTCTGTTGGCGGTCCTTCAAACAGCTTCTCCGTCATTCTGTTTCCACCTGCCTTGAGAAGCCATGTGAACCACATGTGCAACCGAGCAAAGAGATTCTTCTCATGGGTTAGCTCCACCTGATGACAATAAATCATAACAAACATTTTGCATCGCGTAATGAACAGTGTTTCTTCACCAGTAATTAAACACCTCCGGTACATACCGACTCTCCGAAGCAAAATTTTGATAGATACATATTTCACAACTATGCCCAATCTTCACTTCAATGTAACTACAGTCTATACATAGAGCAAATGCTACAGCGCCTCTAGACGGATGTGTTTGCCCACCAGGGACCGCGCTGGCTTATTCATGCCCCTATGCCGTAGGAAGTCTCGTGGGTTGACACTGCTGCTAAGGCGTAGTGATCTCTGAGGGCATTCCGTTTGCTCAGCTTCATAGACCTTCAGAGCCATCATCTGTATCTTGTCGATGATTATCCTACCAACAGAAATACGTAAAAACCTCTGCACATAGTTTCATGTCCAATTTAGGCCATGATTCACTGACCATAGTCAGCATTTTTTAGATTTCCTGGTTACGACTAGACCAAATAAAAAAGACTTGCTGGATCTGCAACTTTCAGCTATAAACTTGTGATTTAAAAAACATTGCTCTGGTATCAACACATCCGGCTTACCATGAGAAACGATACACCACATATTCTGCTAGAGCCTACACCTTACCTCAAATGTGTGACGAGGAACGGCCAGGAGTTGAGGAGGAACACTTTATCCGTCATGACGACAATGATGCTGTACCATCGCTGGAAGCCGCGCGCATGGCTGTCCTTCACGAAGAATGTGTGACTCAGCACGTGTCCACGCACATCATCGCCGAAAAATATCGGCCCCTCTCTCCCAGGACACACCTAACCATAACAAAAGCTTGAGAGTCTACAGACAAGACAATGTGCACAACGTTGACAATGACATGATAATGAAAACACGTGCAGTGTTCCGCATGCAAAGTTGAGACATCATAGACTGATGATATTCATAGCTATTTATGTTTCTGACAACAGGCCCTATATTTCTTCAGGTGTCTTTTGGTAGGATACGAATGAATGTTTCTGTTAGTGCTACAGTTACCTATATAGGCGATGTTTGGAAGATTATGATTGAAAGTTTCTGTTACTGCTACTGTAGTTATCTCTACTAACTGATCCTGCTCATGAGGCAGAGTCAGCTTCTGTTGCCACTCACTTCACAGCTGAGACTCCGAACGCAGGCTTGCCGGACTATGCTGAATATCTCTGGATGGCATGGGTACTGGCTGCTAACATAGCTAACCTTAGCCTCATGATCATTACTGACAAATCCTGGCTGCCCTGCTGCCATCGACCTACACGCCTGCAAGAGAAAATCAAATATGTGTGTTTTTCGGCTCCAATCGTGGAGCAATGAGCCTCTGCAACTGCATTGCTTTGGTTGTATTGATTTATGAATTATTTACATAGCAATCTCAGTTGAAAATCTCAGCATGACACTTACATAGTGTGACACTAACGTACTAAGCGACTATCATACCGAGAGAACACTACAGCTCTGCGGAGCTCAGTTCAAGGATTCAAGGATCTCTATTGCATACTTCACACATTTCTGTGGTCCTTCCTGCAGCACCGGAAGTGATGGGAGATTGCGGTGTGGGTGGGGTGGAAGTCTGTGGTGTTCTGGGTGGTCGAAGCCAGTGTTCCAAACTACCGTAGAACGAGAACTGAGAGCTTTGCTCCTGTCCCGAGCCTTGAAATTGATGAACCAGGTCATACATCAAATATTGAGAGTACCAGGTACGCATTCTATATAAGGTTGACGACATAGCCATTTTCGCATACATGAATAAGTTACTATGTAATTAGTTACAAGTTTATTCTACAACCACTCTGCTGCAGCAATATGTATAAATACCATTGCTTCCATCTTGGCTCTCCGTCTGACTGGGTGAAGGCTCTAGCAGGTGTGCGGGGACCTGAGAGTGGAACGCCTGGGTAGAGAATACGATGCTAGGCCCATGAAGTTCGCAAAAGTGACAGAGTGCAATCACAGCATTCATACTTGCTGGTCCACTTCAGCAGGCAGCAGCAGCATTGGAAGGTCACACACACACACACACCGAGGATGGAGGTTGAAACCTGTAAAAATTTACTCTCGTGTGGAAAGACATTCTCACGTAAAATATGCATCTTGATTTACATGAATGATATGCTTTTGTATGAAGAATGACTCCAACTGTACTTTCTCATTCGTAAATCGGACTTTAACCACAATGCACTTATTTATTAACACAATGCAACAATGCATTCTAAACATTCTAAGTGTAATTTTCGTAAACAGTCTAGTCAAACTAATTAGTGATAACATATATATCCCACTATGTCCTGCGTGTAGCATGGCAATATATAACAACACACAAAATTACACAGTAGATCTTTGCGGGCACCTAGCACTTGCATCAGCTTTGCTCTGCATCTACATAATAGGGGTCACAGCAGAAACTGCAGAGCAAGAAGCCCTAGAGAAAAATTATCATGAATGTCTACAGGCACTCAATAATGATGATGTGACAGTCAGAGAAAAAGCCAGACTTGTGCTGGAACAGCAAAGCATAGAGCTTCCGTGTGGAATGTGTCAACACCCTGACCGAGAAGCATCGGAGTACCGTGGCAAGTGGAAGAGAGTTCTACAGGCATGTGGTCTTCACAGCACATGTAGTATAAAGGACCTCCACTGTTACTGAGGCATTATTCATACTACGTAACGATTTTTGTAGTTTGATATCAACAAGAACTAGCTAAAAAAAAAAACGATTTTAAAATTGTTGATGTGTGCTGTGGTGATAATTTCTCATTACAGATGGGAGAGGAGAGAGTGGAACATGACAGTGAGAACATTGTGATCACAAGCAGCAGTAGTCTATTCATCCGTCGAGCCCAGCTGTCCGACGCCGGTCAGTACCTCTGCATCTGGCTTGGTCAGTACTACTCTGTCTACAGACTTGATGTTGTGAGAACGGAGAAGCGAGCAGTGGTGTATGACACAGACATCAAGGGAGCACGGCCTGCCAAACCTAAAGCTTTACCCCAAAACAACCTCCAACTGTTCACAAGCTGGACCGACTGGAGTGACTGCACCCTGTGTGGAATGCCCGGCAGACGCCACAAGATAGGAATATGCACGCTAAAGAAACTGGATGCCAATGAGTCAGTTAAACCTGTAGACTTGAGTGTGTTACACGATTACCCTGGGGGTGTTCCATGTAGATCAAGCGCTCTGCCCGAATATTTCGCTTCCATGGGAGAGATTTGGTCAAGACGTAGTGAAACTCTTGTTGGCACGTGTGAGGTTGCCTGTCCGACTGTGCCAGCAGAAACCAACATCACAGACGAAAACGGCATCATTGTTGAGACTGTACGTACCGGAGAGGGCCTGTATTCCATTCGACTGCCTCCACCGAGCATTCCTCCCATGGTAAAGCGGAAAACAGTGTACGAGAGCGAAGGCAGTAACATCGAGCTTGTGTGTCCCAACAGTGACTCGACTACAGGAGTAACGTGGCAGAACAATACGGAGATAATCGACCCGATCAAAATACGCAGATTCACCCGCGGTCGTATTATAATCGACGACAAAAACGCGCTGCGATTAAGACGCCTTACACTGACCGACACCTCCTTGTACAGCTGTTGGATGAATCAGCGACTAGTTGCAACAGTCAGAATCGTGGTAACGCTTCGGGACAGCAGCAGGCCAAGTGACTACATTGCGTTTGCGGGCTTTGGTGCGGCCATGCTGACCGTGCTCTGCATTTGTTGCACTGCATGCAAAAATAGAAAGAAACAAACAGTAAAATGACGAGATTGCTTGATGTGCAAGTTGATTTGTATGTTGTAAGTTTAGAAAAAATAACTGCAGTAAATTTGATCAATTATAACCAAACTGTAAATGGTGTGTAATATCTGAGAACACAGACTCTACCCAACATGGTGACAACCAGGCCTAATATGCAACCATGCCTATAGAATATTATAGGCAACCTGTCTATAGAAAACCCTATATATATATACAACCTTGCATATAAGCTATATGAAAGGGCTCTCATTGTAGAGTAGAATAGTACGAACAAAAAAATGTATCAACTTAATATTTTTATGCAATAACTTCCCAGTTATGCACATATTGAAGAGAGATTTCAGCCATCGTCTCTTGTACTCCAACAGCTTAAATCACATCCCCTAAAGTCACATCTGGCAGCACGATGGCAGAAAACTCTGCAATTTGTGCATAGCTTTGAAGCTATTTGGTAACGTGTGAAGTTAATCCATTTTTACCTAAGATTCTTCAAGAAATTTAGATTGTTGGAGATCAACAAGTGGCACACAGTGCGAGAGAGAGAGTGTGCACAAGATAAAACAAAATGTCACACCGCCAAAAAAAGGTCTGTGAGGTGTGGCAATTTTTTTGGGGGTGTGTTTGCGAGTTTTCGTGGTCCTAGCAATGAAGAATTCCCCACTCCAGAATTTTTTTGAAAAAATGGTGCAATTTGGTGCATTCTAAGCTATAATTCGATTTTAGTGCAATAAAGTGTAGTTTATTGATGGAAGAACGGTGATTTTCGTCAGAGAGGCGGTGTTTTGGACAAATATCTGTGTGGCGGCTGAGAATTTGAGCGAGGCGGCCCGCCTCGCTCGTGTCAATGCAGGGGAAACACTGTAACACACAACCCAACTAGCATTACCATACACATAATTACTATTATTACCATGAACACATGCATATATATAGTAGTCAGGCTATATATACAGGATAACTCTAAAGCGGTTACTTATACATAACAAATTTAAAGACCGGTGTTTTGTTGTTATAGTCTCACAGTCGCAGCCTGTTCGGCCTAACACTAGCTCTAGGACTATAGTCCGCGTACAGTTGCCGGAGGCCTGCAGGCAACTGTACACAAGCTATAGTCCTAAAGCTAGCCTAACACTAATTACCTAATTATCAGTGCAATAAATTTTATTTGAATTTAACATAACACTCACAGTATTGCTGATACTGATAGGGTCTATGTCTCCCTGGGTACTGCCGGAACGTATCCTGGGTACGGTCCGGTATACCGGAAGGCGGAACGTACCCTGGTAACTATCTGATAATTGTGATATGGTTAGGGTTAGGGTTAGGGAGTAGGCGTAGGCGACTCCCTAGACTCGTTAGTGGAGTAGGCGAGGTACGGTTCGGCATATTAGATAGTACCAGGGTACGTTCCGGTATACCGTACCCAGGGTACGTTCCGGCAGTACACAGGGAGACACACACCCTGGCAGCCACAGTATTCGCTTATCGGCTCATACTCATAGTCATGACTCATAGGGTCTATGTCCCCCAGGGTACTGACATGAATGTATAGTCTAGACAATCCGTCGCACAGCCTGGTCGGGCTAGTAGTAGTACTAGTAGTAGTAAAAGTATGAGTACGATTAGTAATAGTACTAATACTAATAATAGTTAAAAGCACATGATGTTCTAGCTCATTATCTAACACTGGTGTAAGCTTGTAAGTTGTTACATGTATGACTACGAAATTTAATGTTGCATGACAGCTGACGACGACAGCCACTACCAAATGTATCTCAGCGCCCTCTGTAAAATACTTTAAGAACTATAGAGGCATGTCGGTTTGCGCCTTTGGTTTGCGCGTATCACATTTACTCCAGTAAACACCATGGCCAGCAGCAGTAAGCGTCTCAGTTTCATGCATTGATTTATGCATAACGAGATAAAGGATCTCATCTTCTACAATCCCTGATTCAACCTGGCTGTATGGCGTCGCTAAGATGAAAGCACATTGATGAAGGAACGACGTCTGTGATTTATAACATCCAAATAAGTGAGTAGCTGTACAAAAGGTGGCAGCACAACGATATTAGTAACACGTGGTTTCCGTGCTTTTCGAGGCCCGAGCTATATTTATATTGATTTATATACAATACATTATACATGTGCTCCTTGTTCGAGGTAAGACTGCGGAAAGGTAGATAATTTGCGAACGTCAGAAATCATTATGGTTTATACAAATAGCATGCGAGTTAATAGTAAGTATTTATTAATAATAATTAACCACGTAATATTATAACCGATCGTCCGATTCTTTATCTATTCCTATTGCAGCCGGTGTCGCATCATTGACGTTGGCAGTTACCGTCCGTCAAAATCCGTACCATAATAATGAACGGACCAACGCAGGTACTCTGTGTGTGTACGGTCGTAGTTAGTTTGTGGCTCGTGCCTCTAACAGTTGGGCGTACCACTGAGGATCCAACAAGTCTACTCAATGTGTGTCTTAGAGGACTTAATCACAAAGAGAAACCAGGACCACAGGACAAATTATTTGATCAGGTTTTCAACATGTTAATTGTATTAAATATTTATTTCTAGGAGTATCGTATTGACAAGCGGTTGGTCTTGTTTTGGAGAGCAAAGAATTCTGCTTAATGCAATACCATAAAATTATTCTAGACTCGCAGACAAAGTAGAATAATGTTGTCGTGAAATAGCACTATTTTCCCGTTTTTCCGTTGTACACTCTAGGTATTATTAGCTCTTGATACAACGTTATTTAAGTCAGTATATGAACAGATTGTATAATTTTATTGAAACGTTTCAAAATGAAATCTATAAGGCCTAAAAAAAGACGTTTGTTTCCGCTAACCAAACCGAGTCGAAACTTTATTGTGATCGGCAAAAAATTATTTTTTTGTTAAATATTTTTAAAAAATTCAAAAAATTCCAACATGATATTGATCGGTGAATGTATTGATTTGATTTTGAAGTCATTATATGGGCTGTTATGAGTATAAAACAAGTATTTGTATACAAGTATAAGTTAGAATACAAAAAAGGTATTTTTTAGGCCTAAAGTAATAATCCTTCGGCACCATATAAGTACTATATAAATGCCATGCATTAGGTACATATCATGTAATTTTTTCCTTTACGGAATTGTTAGAGTGATTTTATATATTCAGTTTATTTGATTAGTAGTGGTCTTCTGCAGTGCTTGCCATGGCAGAACCATTCGTGCTGTACACACGAAACGACTAAAGAGCTTCATCAGGGCAACATGTACAATTTCAATTGGAACCACTGCAATCAACCAATGGGAGATGCATGCAGGCGCCACTTTGTACAGGACCTGTGTTTTTACGAGTGCTCTCCCAACATTGGACCATGGCTAGTTGGGGTTAGTATATGTATCTATAGAACAATGCATAGCAAATTATGCAAGATTAAGTGTTTTATTATTAGATCAATTCATATTGTGCATAATTTCTTTCAGTACCTATCAATATTTAGAAATGTGTATGTGATTATTCAAGTATTATATGTTACAAATTTTGGCAAACTGCCATTGCATATAATTTACTTCCATACTTATGTATCAAGGTTACATTACTTGCAATGTTCATATTTTAGTTGTCAAAGTAGACGAGTTAAATAGCATTTAGTAGGCAACAGTAATTAGGAGCCTTTACTGTATTTGGACAGGTAGATATGAAAATCCGTAAAGAGAAACCGCTTGATATGCCACTATGCCAGAGTGAGTGTGACCACTGGTGGGATGACTGCAAGAGTGAGCTCACCTGCTTAGACAACTGGGGCAAAGGTTTTAACTGGACAGGAGGTGACATATAGCATCGCACATGGAAGCCTTGTCATACATATCATCAAGAGCGTATAAAGAAGGAGAGCGTACAACGGTAAAATGCTGAAACCATGTTGCAGTATTAGTCGAATTAATAAACTTTTTCCGTTTTATTTTGACGATTCTTTGCAGTATTATTGATCAGCTGTCCTACCTTGTTCATATAAAACAAACCGCATGTCCCTACGATGCCCATACGCTGAGATAATGAGCGGTGAAAATCTGGTATTTTCACTGAACACCGACTAGACATTAGTCAGTACTGCATCACTCTCTCGAAGTGTTATAACTTCGGTGAACCTCGCGTGTTTCCGTCAATGATTGACAAATGGAATGAATGACGTCTGTTATTGATTGCCATAGTGATGACCCCCACCTGTGCCACCTCACGCCCACCTCACGCTGGATGTATAGTAAACTCTGGTAGTATTACGTGAGTCAGCGCCACTATGGCGCTACACAGCGGCGACCGGAAGCAACACACTGGAAACACTTCGAGAGACTGATGCAGTACTGACTAATGTCTAGTCGGTGTTCAGCGAAAATACCAGATTTTCGCCGCTCATTATCTCAGCGTATGGGCATCGTAGGGACATGCGGTTTGTTTTATATGAACAAGGTAGGACAGCTAATCAATAATACTGCAAAGAATCGTCAAAATAAAACGGAAAAAGTTTATTAATTTGACTAATACTGCAACATGGTTTCAGCATTTTACCGTTGTACGCTCTCCTTCTTTATACGCTCTTGATATCATCGCTCTGTGATAATTATTAGTACTATATGATGGCACATCATGAAATGGAAAAAGTTGTGACTACGACTAATATTATGACTAAGATGTTTCTGAAAATGATCCCCTGACTGTCATGATTAGTTTTCAATCTGTAAAGTTACAAAAATATTGTACTGTTTCTCTGTTTGTCAGTCATTAAAAAGCAGGAACACTGAAACCCATCCTTTAATAAGACTTGGCTTAGCTAACTCTCATTTGAAAATGTGTGTAACAGTTATGCATGAAAGGCATGAATTTCTAGGCAGAAATGCCTAACTTGCTTAGTGTAAAATAGTGAGGAATTGATGATCTTCTCTTTATTAGATGATCATGAACGAGATTGGGTACACAGGCAAGTTTTGCAGTTATTGATGGTCAGATTCGAGCCACCGCTCACTAATTGTGATATTGTATTTGCAGCAACGAACACTTGCCCGATGGGGAAGCCATGTTTCTCATTTGCACACATGTTTCGCGATGCACAAACGTTCTGCGAGAATGTGTGGGATCATTCGTGGAAGGTTGTCGATGATTCAAAACCCTGCATGAAGTTACTTTTTGCTCCATCTGAAGGTCAGTAAATACACATTATACTCTTAAATTAGGAATATTACTTGTTTATCGTTACCTTTATCGAACTTTGAGCTATAGTTAAATCGACATGGGTTAAAGTAGTGGATATATGTTCCCCATTGAGATGGTCTTAGCATTCTATTCCACACATCCTAACAATTATTCTGAATAAAAATTCAAAAGCGCAACGTCATTACCTGAAAAAATCGTCTGGTGTTATGGCAAAATCCCAAATTGTTAAGTTTTAAATTCAGTAAGATCTTTAATAACAAAGGTGAAAGTCTGATAACAGAAATATGCGGGTATATACTATTTTTTATTCAATATGTATAAAATTATTCTTTCCAATTCTAGACTATTTTGTTCCTCTTGAAGAATGCTCGTAGTGCTACTCTGTGTACTGAGTAATTATATATAAATGATATACTAAGGCTTCAAGGTGTTTTGTAATTGGTTGTTATTTGATGACAAGTTTTTTGTAATTAGTGCATGTGTTTATGTCCCCAGGTAATCCCAACAATGATGTGGCCCAATGGAAGGTGAACCAAATGATTGCTAATGTAGCTCCTGCAGCACCATCTAGTGTCAGGATAGCACAATTTCTGGTATTCTGCACATTGTCATTTTTACTCTGATAATTAATGAATTTTAATAGGGCATATGTTTATTGTAATACAATATCTATCAGGGTGGAGAAACATGAATCTTTATTATGCTGGCAGTGAGTTTGTGACATTCTCTCTAGTCTTAAGCCGGGCGCACACGTGGCGATTTTTATCGCTAGTACTGCAAAGCTGTAGGCCCGCCAATTTTGGAGCAAATTATAGTAATAAAACAGCATATATCATGTTCTTCCTTGTGTTTATTAGTCATTATCAATGTCCATAATCATAATCCCCAGGGTTCTCCAAGCTTTTTCATTATAGCATGGGGGTGCTGGTCAGTGCTACAGGAATGTCCCCCCCCCCGGAAAAAATTTTAATTGTAGAAGCTCTGAGATGCATTCTGGGACACTCTGTGTGTAAATTTGAAGCACTGCATGTGGGGTGAAAATGTTTGTTTTGCATGGGCAAAGCCATCGGGAAATTCAAAATAATAATGGAATAAAAATACCAAAATGTAGGGGTGAACTTGCTGGTTTGCTGGTTCCAAATCGAGTTCACCTCTCATAAATCAGAAAACCTGACATATACCAGTGTTGGAAATATCAGCTGGTCCCATAGTCCCTGACTGGTAACTTTTCAGCAGGGCTGGCTACTTTTGGACAGGACTGGCTAATTTTCAAGAAAATTAAGTACTGTAGCTTATATTGCGGATTTAGTATTTTTTTAATCGGGACCGGATGGAATTTTTGTCTTATTTCCAACACTGCATATATACATACCAACTATACTGGTACTGTAAATCTTCTTACATCATTTTACTCATTTGTATTATGTAGTTTTACTATCGACAGCTTTACAATACTGTTCTGGATCTGACTTACATTTGCCTTTGGCTATGTCCACTGTTTGTATTTTGTTATTGTGGGGTCTACCCCTAGTGTTATGTACAAAAAATACAATGGCAGGAGTGGTCGGTAAGTGTACCAGTCTACTCTACCTTGTGTTAGACTGGGTTACCTGCCCCGTAATAATGCCGTTGGAAATTAATTCACGATTAAGATTTCTTGATGAGCTAGAAAACACTCGGATTTGAAGTATGAAAATGAACATGATTGTGCCAGCTAGCCTACACCAGTTGGTTGGGATTGATTGTCAGTTCAGATGCAAAATATTGAAAGCAAAAGGTTATACACCATAGATTAATTGGGTACACGCGTATATAAGATAGCCGAGTCGGTTTAGAGTTAGTGGTAGGGTTAGAGGATTTCTACAGATAACAGTTTCTTAGTGTTTCGAATTTTCGGTGATCAATTAGCTGTAGGATCAGGGGGCCTGTTTTATCAAGAAGCTGTAGGCCCGGCATCGAAACTGTCGGCAGCGGCATGGTTCGCACAGTCCTTGAAAAGTCCTTGAATTTGAGGGGAGTCCTTGAAAAGTACTTGAATTTGAGGGGAGTCCTTGAAAAGTACTTGAATTTAGTAAATGTTGATTTTGTGCTTGAAAAGTGCTTGAATTTCATGAAAATGTCTTTGAATTTTTAGAAAGAATCCTTGCCTGTAATAAAAAGCTATAACCACGATAGACAGTTAAATGATGATCATAAATTACAGTAAGTCAGTAAAATCAGTCAGGAAATCAAGGTATGTTGTAGAAGTGACAGTGTTTAGAAGTGTTTATTAATGTGATCCAGGTAAGTTTTAGAGGTGACATGCAGTGATTAAGAATGGGGTTATTAAATTAATCCAGGTATGTTTTGTTCTGTGCATGAATTCAGATAAAATGTCTGATAAAATGTCCTTGAAAGGTCCTTGGGAAAAATTTCAGTCCTGTACGAACCATGGGCGGGCCGACGTGAATTTCGAACACTGCACGATAGCCGTTCTTCAAGTTATTGGAATATATTTAATTTTTTTTCTCATATTCCTATCACTGTAAATCCCACTCGTAATATCGAAAAGACATGGGCGGATCTGCCAGATTTCAACGCATTCGTCCTCCCTCGTTCTCTCCCATACCACGGGCGCTGCCATATTTGATCACGTGCTTCAAATCATGCATTTGATTGGTTAATCCAAAAACTGTTGCCTGAGGCTGAAGGTGTTGAACAAGAGTAGAGGGCGTCCATAGGCGGCAGGCCTGAATAAGCATCGAACAGAAATTAATTACAAATACTCACACTGTTACTGCACTTACAAAACATACACTTTATTCATGTTAAATAACTACAGATTCATGCTCTATGCTCCGCTCGAAACTTTTGCCAGCTCTATAACGCGAATTTCTGCAAAGTTGTCTGAACACATTTCATACACAAAAATCACCAGCCGGTCGCTGCGGCTACGCCACCTGACGGAATGTCACGAGTACACAACAAGACCAATTTTACTTCTAATGCTTTCTAGACGTCGACGAGGCATCTAACTTGCGTGCATGAATGCAAATTATTGCAATCTAGTGCCGAATTTCAGCGAAAAAAATGCCAAAAAAGGCATTTTCTAGAGACCAAATAGTGCAACGGTGAACAATTGCGGAAGCTTACTATTGTACACCTCCTGAATCCGTCACCAGTGCAGCGCACACGTAGCGATTGTTCAGCGACTTGGCAACAAATATGAAACATGTTTGATATTCCAGCGATGAGTTTCTGGCGTCAAAATCGCCATCGCCATGCAGCGCACACGTGGCGATTTCTCGGCGATTTTGTTGCTGGCAACAAAATCGCCAGTGCTAGCGATAAAAATTTCCACGTGTGCGCCTGGCTTTAGATAATGCATGAGTAATTTTTTCCCACTAAACTGATGTGACGAGCATTTGATGCCTAGAGTTAATAAGTTGTTGTTAATTTTGGAGAAGCCAGCATACATATGTGTGTTTGACTGCCATTGTTCCACGCATTTGAATAATGTTATACTATACTTCAGATAATTTCATTTCCATTTGGTTGCTGGTTTGAAAAGTAATTATTCTTTCCCATGCCCACGCATGCAGAAGAAAGTGAGAGATGGGTGGTGTAAGGCAACTCATTATAATTTATCATTTTTAATTATAACACAGCAATAATCCATTCCTTTAAAATTCTGGTATTAATTATGTATTGCGTCATAATGCATTAGAAATGATTTCATATAGGTTACAGGCTTTATATTAGGTAATTTTTTCTGTACTCGGCATGTAAAAAATATACACAAGGGCTAAATAATAACATTAATGTCTTCCATTTTTGAAGTGAAGGTTTCAACTTGAGACATTTCTCGGGCGTCGAGATCTGAAAACTTATTAATACATAAGATTGTTGACACTAGAACAAGGAAAAACAATTGTACAAAAAGTAACTAGAATTTTGATTTAAAAAAATTAAAATCTAGGAAAATATTCTCTGCCACTTCATAATTTTGTTGTCAAATTTGTTTCATCGTCATCTACAGTTGTTAAACATATATATCAAGAGTATATATATATATAAGCAAACAATCTGGAAGTCCCTAAATTCCATTTATTTGCATAATGCATTATTAGAATTTTGTTATGCTTGCATATGCAACCAATATTAACTTATGTAAAGAAATATTGGACATGTGTAAATCATAGATGATAGGTCAATATTCTGTGTAAAAATGTGACATTTGTTTGTAGTTGTGAAAGTAACTCACGGAATAAGCCACTTCGTAGTTACGCACTGGAACCCTATGACGTCATCGGGTCATAGGTCATTTGTACATAGCTGAGAATATCGATCGCACGTTCGCTCGTACGCGTTTGCCGTATGCTACATAATATGCATGAATGTTATACAGAAGCTATGTAAAATCGTGCATGCGTTTGTATTCTGTACTGAACCGATCGACTATCTGCTTGTGCTTTTTGTTTTTTGGATTTTTATGTGTGTGTATGATATTCATTGTGGGGTATTTTATGCAGATATGCAGTGTCGGTTCTTCTCGGTCAGTCAGTTAACTGCAGCTAGTCAGATCAGTCAGTCTCGGTCATATCATTTATTTATGGATGTCTTTTTGCTCCCGGGATTTCTTAATTCTAATACAACAGAAATGCACACTCAGACATACATGTAATTAACTTGCAAAGCATATTTATTGATTTATGTTTAATGCACATCTAACTACATATGAACAAGGAGGAATGTTAACCTCTAAATACATTGTACAAGCAATTAAAGCAATGAAAATGGGGAAATTGTGTACGTGTATACTTGTATGAAACCTGCAAATGTAGCAAGCATAATTTAGAATGTAGCAAGTTTAAAAAATAGCAATGAAATAAACGCGTTTTCATTTGAGAGACAGCAGCTAGGGAATAAACATGTATCATAATTTCTTATATTTCATATTATTAATATATATGAAAACCTTCAATTTAAGTACCATTTGATATTAATAATAAAAAATATATGCGTGACTCCTGTTTCATGTGTAAATGGTATTTTAGCTGCCATAGTATAGACATATTGTAATCAAAATACTAATGACTGAAATAGTATGCATTCAAGCAATGTTATGATTATTATATTATTTTATGTTTATTAATGAATGCTATTTAATTATTGAATGTTCGTTGCTTTATTGTATATAATTGAGAATGAGATGTAACTGCATGCGTATGAATGATGCAATGAGAAAATGGTGATGGAGACGTCAGATGTTCATTATGACAATTACAGAAACTTTGGTGAGGATGAAAAATATTAAGGAAAGCTTTCAATAAATGATGGACTTAAAATAGTTTTATAATGTCTTAATTCTCATGTGTACAAATAGCTACTAGGTAAACTCGAAAGTTTTTCACACATGCATCTTTACGTTATTGCCATAATTAGTACTGAAATCATTACATGGGTTCTTTATAAACATGTATCCCTATACCTAAAAGAAAGGATACCAGTTATAACCACGCATTTTCCCATTTATCAACTAAGTAACAGACAACAAAATTGAACAAATAACATGTATTTGTTCTACATGTATCAATGAAGTTTACACACATTCTATATTGGGCAAATCTTGGTTAAATGTGATGTTATTTCCAACTTAGACAAGTACAGTACGTACGGTTCCACTTGCTATCACACGCCACGGAGACCCAGCGAGCGTTTTATGTACAATTGACCTTTGGCAAAAGTTCACGCCAGAATCTCGCGCATGCTCAATGCGTAACTACGAAGTGGCTTATTGGCTTGCTTAAAAAAGTTTGGCTGTATTAATCGCTTCTTTGACCTCTTAGTTTACATTCAGTTTAGTGACAAACCTTTGTTGCTGGCAAGGGGCCAGAGTTCTCTAAAATGTGTTGATTATAACGTGGTTCAACCTAGATACAATAATGTAACCCAAACCCAGGACACTGTGGGTTTCGAGTTTATTGACCCACGATTAACCTAATTAATTAGCAATTATGCACGCGCGGTAATGCCCATAGGCTATTATACGCATATCTCGCGAAGGAGTCGAGGTATAATTATAGAATTCTACATGCATAATGATACATGTCTTAGCTATAAGCACTGTAAGTTTCGAGTTAATTGACTCACGATTAACCTAATTAATTAGCTGTTATTCACGCGCGGTAATGCCCATAGGCTTATACAGGCATATAGTACAGGTTTAGCCGGTAGAAAAGTATTTACCTATATTGCGATCTATATGAGTTACGTTTCTAGAATTCTACATGCATAATGATACATGTCTTAGCTATAATCACTAAGTTTCGAGTTAATTGACCCACGATTAACCTAATTAATTAGCTGTTATTCACGCGCGGTAATGCCCATAGGCTTATACAGGCATATAGTATGGGTTTAGCCGGTAGGAAAGTGTACCTAAAGTGTAGAGAGTGATATTGGATGGTGGGACCTTGGCTTCAATCAATAGAGAGTGATATGTGACGGTAGGACGTTGGCCTCAAGCAGTAGGGAGTGATATGGGATGGTAGGACCATGGCTTCAATCAGTAGATAGTGATATAGGATGATAAGATCATAGATCTTTCTATCCTCCTTTCCTTCTCCTCCTCCTCCTTTCCTCCTCTACTCCTCCCCCTCCTCCTCCTCTCTTCTCCTCTCTTCTTCTCCTCCTCTCCTCTCCTCCTCCTGCTCCTCCTCTCCTCCTCCTCTTCTCCTCCTCCACCTCTTCCTCCTCTCCTGCTCCTCCTCTCCTCCTCCTCTCCTCTTCTTCCTCCTTCTCCTCCTCCACCTCCTCCTCTCCTCCTTCTCTCCTCCTGCTCCTCCTCTTCCTCTCCTCCTCTTCCTCCTCCTTCTCCTCCTCCACCTCCTCCTCTCGTATAATAGCCTATGGGCATTACCGCGCGTGCATATTTGCTAATTAACTCACAGTGATTATTTCTAAGACATGTATCATCACGCATGTAGAATTCTAGAAACGTAACTCATATAGATCGCGAGATGTGATAGGTAAATACACTTTTCTACCGGCTAAACCCATACTATATGCCTGTATAAGCCTATGGGCATTACCGTGCGTGAATAACAGCTAATTAATTACGTTAATCGTGAATCAATTAACTCGAAACTCACAGTGATTATAGCTAAGACATGTATCATTATGCATGTAGAATTCTAGAAACGTAACTTATATAGATCGCGAGATATGATAGGTAAATACACTTTTCTACCGGCTAAACCCATACTATATGCCTGTATAAGCCTATGGGCATTACCGCGCGTGAATAACAGCTAATTAATTAGGTTAATCGTGGGTCAATTAACTCGAAACTCACAGTGATCATTTCCAAGACATGTATCATCACGCATGTAGAATTCTAGAAGCGTAACTCATATACATCGTGAGATATGATAGGTAAATACACTTTTCTACCGGCTAAACCCATACTATATGCCTGTATAGCCTATGGGCATTACCGCGCGTAAATAACAGCTAATTAATTAGGTTAATCGTGGGTCAATAAACTCGAAACTCACAGTGATTATTTCTAAGAGATGTATCATCACGCATGTAGAATTCTAGAAACGTAACTCGTATAGATCGCGAGATATGATAGGTAAATACACTTTTCTACCGGCTAAACCCATACTATATGCCTGTATAAGCCTAAGGGCATTACCGCGCGTGAATAACAGCTAATTAATTAGGTTGGGTCAATTAACTCGAAACTTACAGTGATTATAGCTAAGACATGTAGAATTCTAGAATTCTAACTCTACTCCTTCGCGAGATATGCGTATAATAGCTAGCCTATGGGCATTACTGCGCGTGCATATTTGCTAATTAATTAGGTTAATCGTGGGTCAATAAATTCGAAACTTACAGTGATTATAGCTAGGACATGTATCATCACGCATGTAGAATTCTAGAAACGTAACTCATGCGCGGGCAGAGGGTTCGGAGTCGGGTGCCGCCATATTGACCGGTAGAAAAGTGTATTTGCGCCCTTATTTTATATTGGTCTACTGGGATGCTGAAGGCTGAGTGAATCGACGATAAGTCTGGATTTAATCACAATACTTTTATTGAATAAGTCTGCTGGCTACATAATGCTGATCATCTCTTTATGGCTGAACTTCCTGTTCCTGTTGATACAGAGAATGCTCACTAGGTGAGAACTGAAGGGGGGTTTCGGAATTACATGAACACTACATTCCTCCCTTTCTAGATAAGAACTTGTTCTCTTTTAGCATTGTTCAAACTCTGTATAATAGAAACCTTGATTAGGCATGTTAAGTAACACTTAGTAATACAATTTATTAGTGATCTCAATAATAATAGGCGCGTACACACTGGCGCGAATAAGCGGGATGCAAATCCCTGTTTTTGAATCGCGATCGAAATACCGAGATTATTACAAGTGTGAACGCAATAATACCCACTAATAATCGCGATCAGCATCGTGCTCCAAATCGCACGTTTGACTGCGATTGATTTGAATAAGCGCGACTTATTGCGTGTTGAACGCTCGCCTTTGAATAAGCCGCCCAATTATTTGCTGTGTGTGAACGCGTCGCGCAATAATCCCGTATTTTCTAGACCCATCATCTAAGCGAACCCCCTTGGTGAGCAGCGACCATGCGCAGTGAGCATCATTCCGCAGTGCAAAGCATTCGCAGTTCTATCATAGAATTATCCCGCTCGGCATCTAGCCGATTATTCACCTGTGTGAACAACGACACAATTATCTCGGTATTTCATCGCGATTAGCATCGCGGTTTTTCTTGTGTGTGAACGCGCCTAATGTATTATTATACAGATAACGCACGGCCCGGCGTGCATCAGTGTAAATGCAGCGCGGCGCTAGGTATCTTTAGACTGGTGCGCACTGCGCATCAGCAAACTGCATGCAGCGCCCCCTTCCCACACTTAGGATATACTCAGTAGATTGAGCCTATGAGTGAGAGCGCCATCTGTCGTGGAGTTTGGCGCATCAGCCGCTTGCGGCGAATGCGCCGTGCGCACCAGTCTAAAGATACCGAGCGCCGCGCTGCATTTACATTGATCGCACAACAGGCCAAGTGCGTTATCTGTTTTATAAAATTGCAACACACAATTAATTGAAAATAAATAGTAAGTCTAGATCACGAAAATTTATTTCAATTCTGAACGTCAAAACAAACACATTTACAGTTTAGTAAATTGCTTCACACACAATTAACAGTATGTCTAGATAAATAGTCTAGAAAATAAATAGTAAGGCTAGATCTCGAAAATTTGTTCCAGTCCCGAAAGTCAAAAACAAACGCATGTTTATTTTTAGTATACACTTAAACCTGATACAATAATGAGTGCTGACATTAGTCTATTTGTCAGTAGGTAAATCCATTAGAAATGTGTTAGATTTACTTAACACATTATACTCCAGGCCCAGCACTAGTTGAATTCGGCCTTGGCTGTATTAGTGTAGCGACACTTTAGGCGTGTGTCGATGGGCCTTTCTCATCTGTTTTAAGTGGGGGTATAGCCGCAGTTTGCCATTAAGTAGTTGCACAATTTTGTGCATATCGAACCGCCAGCATTTCGCTTGCGTCTGCCGTAGCAAGGGCAGTGCAGGAACTCCTCTATGTGATCTACGATGTGGCAGAAATCCGTCCCAAGCACGTGGCGCTTCACTCTCACCGCGACCTTGCCTGCTTCGTCCACAGAAATAGAATAGATTCTATTCTATTTCTATTCTATTCTATTCTATTCTATTCTATTTCTATTCTATTCTATTCTATTCTTCTATTCTTCTATTCTATTCTTCTATTCTATTTCTGTGGCTTCGTCTGCCGGAGCCGCTGACGTCACTGTAGTCAGCAACAGTGTCGCCATCTGTGAATCGCAGGAGGAAATTCGTAACACAAATTCAGTAGGCGCGCACGCGAGTATTGGGGAAGAGGAGGAGGAGGAGGAGGAGGAGGAGGAGGAGAAGGAGCAGGAGGAGCATGCAAAAGGAGGGAGATGGGTGGCGGAGGTTATTTTCGGGACGCGGGATTGGAACGTTCTAATTATCTGGGAACTGGGAAATGCCGGATGAACTTATTTCATGGTTCGGAAATGGAAGTCAAACGGGACGCGGGATAGTTGCATTTTTAAAATGATTCGGAAACTGGGAAATGGCATATTTTAGTACCCCGGGGAACTGGGAATGCCCCCACCCCCGCGTCCGTTCGCGCACACGCATGCGCACACGACCACGAACACATATGTACACGCACGCACGCACGCACGCAAGCATGCAGGCACGCACAAACACACGCATACTATATACTCTTATGTATATATAGCTTCCTTGGCCACGAGAATCAGTGACTCTGATTAGAATATTGAGGCAAGCCCTTACCAGCAGTGCAGCGACCACAATTCTCCAGTTTGTTTTCTTTCCTTCAAGTTGCATCTTGTTTTTTTAGGTTTTTCCTCTTTGTTTCGCTTTGTCGATGTTCGATATAATTGCCTGTAGAGCAAACAAGTACGATTTAGATCATGAGTCGTTTATATATTTACACGTTGGGTTTTTGCGCGACCTTACTAGATGTCTGTTCGAACGATGGCACGGTGTGATTCTAATTAGAACGGTTAATTAATTATAATTACCAATTTACTGACGGTTGCATGTAGCTTGTAAGCTCACGTTGTTATTTACTGCCACTGTACCGTAATTAAATGAATGAATGAATAAATAAATAAATAAATAAGGTCTCACTTCCCCTCTCCTCTCCTGCTCCTCCTCTCATTTCTCTCACTAGTTGCTACTGCAGCTACATGAATGAGAGGTCTCACTTCCCCTCTCCTCTCCGCTCCTCTCTCACGATTATCTCACAGAAGATGCTATTGCAACTTACCTTGTGAATCGACGAGCAAGTCTCTTTCGTGAAATCAAGTGAATCTCGTCTCTCTCTCTCTCTCCCTCTCTCTCTTTCTCTCTCTCTTTTTTTTCTCTCTCTTTCGCTCTCTCTTTCTCTCTCGCTCTCTCTGTCTCTTTCGTTTTGGCCTTGCTCGCGTTACCAGTACACAACGACGAAGTAGCGACTGGTCTGGAGGCGGTTGGCTTGGCGACATTTATATAGTCGCTTGTAGGGCAGTAGTGTCTAATTCGTCACCGGTCACGCCACAGTTACCTGACCCCTCTCACCGCGCGTACGTCGGTGTATGCAAAATAGGTGAAAACATCTAAAAATGTGGACGCGGAACTGTTTCGAGCATTATTAGCTGATCATTTATCTCAGTTATATCCTATCGATGTTAGGGTGGTCCGGAGGCATGACCGCCCGGGGAAATGTTTAAAATTTGCTTTATAATGGTGCATTCTGGTGCATGCACTTTAACAGTTTTCTTCTGGATAAAATATACCTAGCCCAACTATAAAATAGGTTGTTTGAGGGGTGGTTCCGGAACCCCTGGAACCCCCCCCCCCCTTGGGTACGGGACAGACGTGCCATGATCACGAGAATAATGAAATATAAAGAGGGTGGATTAGCCCATAGTTAGTTAGTTAGTTAGTTAGTTAGTTAGTTAGTTAGTTAGTTAG